GGAAACCAGATCCCGACACTGGTTGAAACAGGAGCACAGTCGTTGCTCGCCAAACTTGGGTCAAGGGTTGTGCACCGGCGTCTCCCGCTCTGCGTCGGTAACCAGTGGAGAGGTTCTCGTGCCCCATGGGGCGACTGGCATTCCGGCAACACCAACTGCTGTATGCCAGGGACCGCTCAGCCCTAGCGGGCTGGATCCTGGATGGCCGTTCATCGGCTCGTTGCCCAGTACCACTTGCAGAGGGCTCCTTTTGCAAGAAGTGGGAAGAGCATGTGCCGTACCAGGGGCTGGGACACTTCATGGTTGCTAGCGCTGCGGGGAACGGGCATTTCTCGAGACCCATCACGTCACGCAAGATTCTTGACACGCTCAGAACCATATGGGCCAACACTGCCCTGGGACCAGACAGGATCAGGAAACGGGCTCTTCTCGACTGGGATCCCCAAGGGCAGAAACTCGAACGCATCCTGAACACGTGGTGGTTCACAAGAGTCATCCCGGAAGTGCTGTCATATGGTGCTGCTGCCTAAATGTAAGGACGAGTCACTGCTTGCCGATGTACACAACTGGTGGCCCATCAACATCAGTTCCGGCACTCCTCAAGCTCTACTCACGCATCCTGACGAGCAGGCTTGCGGAAGCCTGCCCCTTGCATGAACGCCAGAGGGGTTTTATCCGCACCTCCGGATGTGCTGAGAACGTGGAGATTTTGAGGTGTGTCATGCGGCGAAGCAGGGCAGATGGCAATAGTATTTGTCGACTTCGCTAAGGCATTTGACTCCGTCTCGCACGAGCATATCCTGGATGTCTTGCGGCAGAGACAGGTAGACGACCATGTAATCAGAGTCATTCGTGATTCATACACAAATGTTATTACGAGGGTAGAGGATGGAAGGGGAGGTGCAACCCTGGACATCCCCATAGGGGTTGATGTCAAGCAGGGCGATCCAATGTCTCCCCTGCTTTTCAACCTGGCCCTGGATCCCCTCAAAAAAACCCTCAACGAGCTTGGCAAGGGCTATCACCTCTCAGGTCGGATGCTGGTAACGTTGGCTTTTGCTGGTGATCTAGCTCTGATTAGTGACTCTGATTCTGTGAGCTCATCGGGCTTAGGGTTCAGCCCAGCAAGTGCTATGGGTTTCTGCTGAGACCAATAGCCAACTCAGTAACCCTCAACGACTGTCAGGCCTAGAATGTTGGTGGGCTGCCACTGAACATGATCGGGCCCAATGCGTCAGAGCGTTAACTGGGGATAAGGGTTAATCCCCTGAGGGGAGTCATGAAACCGGAGCTGCAGGTCCAGTATGAGGATTGGGTCGAATGGATCGGTAGGGCCCCGCTTCGACCCCACCAAAAACTTGAAATCCTCAGAGGATACACCATTCCCAGGCTGATCTATCAGGCTGATCACAGGAGCTGGGCGTGACGGCACTGAGGGCCCTAGATGGCACAACCCGGAACGCGGTGAAGAGGTGGCTTCACCTACCCTCATGTACGACGGATGGGCTCTTGTTTGCGGGGCTCAAGGATGGTGGACTTAGCCTCCAGAAACTCGAACGCATGGTGCCATCCATCCAAGTCAGATGTCTGCACCAACTCGCCAGCTCCACCGACAAGCTGGTCAGAGCACTGATTTGTGACGACCCATATATGTTCACCAAATTCCGGAACCTGTGGAAAAGGGCAGGGGGTAGCAAAGACAGCCTTCCACCACTGGGCACGGTGAGGGCTATGCTGGATTCTGCCAGCCAGGGAAGTCCCCCCCCATGACACAAAGTGAGCGCATTAACCCGTGCGATTGGAGGAACGAAGAGATTTTGCGCTGGGCTGGTCAAACCACACAAGGCATCGGGGTACTAGGTTTCAAGCGCGTGCGTGTCAGTAATGGGTGGCTGGGCAACCCAGTCGGGTTCAACCCACGCCAGTACATTGCTGCCTTACAGCTGCGGGCTGTAACCCCACCCTTGAAATCACGCCCTCTATTCCTGAAGGGTCTGTGGCAGCCTGTCCTCTTGAATCCTCCCAGCACATTATGTGCCTGTGCCCATCAGTACAAGAGTCCCGCATTGGCAGGCACAACCGGGTGTGTGCATTCCTTGCCACTGCGGCCGAGATGGCTGGCTGGGTGGTTCACCGGGAAAGGTCGTTTCGTCTCCCTTCGGGGCGAACGGTCCAGCCGGACCTGGTGCTCACCAAAGGCTGGATTGCGCAGGTTGCGGATGTGGCAATCTGCTTCAAGAGGGCCCCAGACACCCTCTCTGAGGCACGCGCCAGGAAAATGGCGCATTACCAAAATTACGGACGGGTGATCGGTGCAGCCATGGAAGTTAGGATTGTCAGGTTCTTTGGGTTCCCCTTGGGGGCCAGAGGCCTGTGGCTTCCTGGTAACTATGAGTTTTTATGGTCTACCAGTGGCCGGAGGCGAAAAAAAAAGGCAAAGTTTTTATGTTCTACCAGTGGCCGGAGTTGAAAAAACTTGGGGGAAAAAACGACAAAGTTTTTCTGGGTTACCAGTGGTCGGTAAAAAATGTTGAAAATTTGTCCAAGTTTTTATGGTCCACTAGTGGGCATCAGTTTCAGAGTTGAAGTTTTTCTGGTCTCCCAGTGGCCACGTTGTTCTGGTCTCCCAGTGGCCTGGTTCTCTGTAGTGGCGGTATTAAAGTGTTTAATGCGGTGCTTAAGTGTGGGCCATAAGGGTTTGGATGGTGCGCTGGGTTCCTGGAGGCCCATAGCCCCGGATGGGTGGGAGTGGGAAGCCCGGGGAAGGAAGTTAAGGTACGTCGGTGAGGGGAAAAAGGGGCCTAGGAAGCGTATGGGTATTGGGGATCGGGCTAGGATATCAGATGAAGCGGGTTCTTTGGAATTTGGAAACGATACCAGACGACCAATAGTCCATAAAATTCGCCCAGGTGGCACCTCAAGGGTGAGTGACCCACCGTGCCGGGCCGAAAATAGGGCGCTCTGATGGGCTACAGGGAGTAGGAAAAAGAAAGATGGAAAAAAAAAGGAGAAAAAGTTTTTATGGTCTACCAGTGGCTGGTGAAAATCTGGCATACAAGTTCATAAAATTCGCCTAGGTGGCACCTCCAGGGCGCGTGAGCCACCGTACCGGGCTGAAAAAAAGTGCACTCTGTGGGCCGTGGAACTTGGAAAACCCCCCCTCGGAGGGTCCAAGGCCCACGGAAGTTCAAAGTCCTAAAAACTTCACCCAGGTTTGACCCCGGCGAGGGCGCCCCGACCACGGCCGATCCGAGGACCTCACTAAACCATCCGATCGGTAGTAGCGACGGGCGGTGTGTACAAAGGGCAGGGACTTAATCAATGCGAGCTTATGACTCGCGCTTACTGGGAATTCCTCGTTGATGGGGAAGAATTGCAATCCCCAATCCCAATCACGAACGGGGTTCCGCGGATTACCCGCGCCTGTCGGCGGAGGCGAGCGACCCGCTGATCCGTCCAGTGTGGCGCGCGTGCGGCCCCGGACATCTAAGGGCATCACAGACCTGTTATTGCTCCATCTCGTGCGGCTGAACGCCGCTTATCCCTCTAAGAAGTTGGGGGGAACGCCGACCGCGGGGGGCCGCGTAACTATTTAGCATGAGGGAGTCTCGTTCGTTATCGGAATTAACCAGACAAATCGCTCCACCAACTAAGAACGGCCATGCACCACCACCCACAGAATCGAGAAAGAGCTATCAATCTGTCAATCCTTTCCGTGTCCGGGCCGGGTGAGGTTTCCCGTGTTGAGTCAAATTAAGCCGCAGGCTCCACTCCTGGTGGTGCCCTTCCGTCAATTCCTTTAAGTTTCAGCTTTGCAACCATACTCCCCCCGGAACCCAAAGACTCGTGGTTTCCCGCAACGCTGCCCGGCGGGTCTTTGTTGTAACGCCGCCGGATCGCGGGTCGGCATGGTTTACGGTCGGAACTACGACGGTATCTGATCGTCTTCGAACCTCCGACTTTCGTTCTTGATTAATGAAAACATTCTTGGCAAATGCTTTCGCTTTCGCCCGTCTTGCGCCGGTCCAAGAATTTCACCTCTAGCGGCGCAATACGAATGCCCCCGGCCGTCCCTCTTAATCATGGCCCCGGTTCCGAGAAACCCATGGAAAATAGAACCGGAGTCCTATTCCATTATTCCTAGCTCAGGGTATTCAGGCGGCGCGTGGGCCTGCTTTGAGCACTCTAATTTATTCAAAGTAAACGCTCCGGGCCCCTGGCGCGGACAACCCAACCAAGGGCATCCGGGGGGCGCCGGCGGGCAGGGCGTGGGACGGGGCGTGTGGCTCGCCTCGCGGCGGACAGCCGGGCCCACTCCCGAGATCCAACTACGAGCTTTTTAACTGCAGCAACTTTAATATACGCTATTGGAGCTGGAATTACCGCGGCTGCTGGCACCAGACTTGCCCTCCAATGGGTCCTCGCCCATGGGTTTAGGATACGCTCATTCCGGTTACGGAGCCTCGAAAGAGACCCGTACCGTTATTTTTCGTCACTACCTCACCGCGTCGGTAATGGGTAATTTGCGCGCCTGCTGCCTTCCTTGGATGTGGTAGCCGTTTCTCAGGCTCCCTCTCCGGAATCGAACCCTGATTCCCCGTTACCCGTGGTCACCATGGTAGGCACATACACTGCCATCGAAAGTTGATAGGGCAGACGTTTGAATGAGACGTCGCCGCCGCGGAGGGCGCGCGATCGGCCCGAGGTTATCTAGAGTCGCCAAAGATGGGTTTTGGGTCTGATAAATGCACGCGTCCCGCTTGCTGCCACCCTCCCCCCCCGGGGGAGGAGAGGGCGGAGAGCGGTCGGCGCCCGTTTGCATGTATTAGCTCTGGAATTACCACAGTTATCCGAGTAACGTGTGGAGCGATCAAAGGAACCATAACTGATTTAATGAGCCATTCGCAGTTTCACTGTAACGCCCGTGTGTACTTAGACCTGCATGGCTTAATCTTTGAGACAAGCATATGTTACTGGCAGGATCAACCAGGTAGCGTGCGACCCCGTCGGGTTGGGGGGGGGGCTGCCGGCCGGCTGCGGCGCGGTGCTGCGAGAGAGTGGGGGGACAGGGCCAGCCGCCCCGGTTTTTAACTCAACGGCCGTGACGCGATGTCGCGCCGGCTTTATGAGGCAAAAAAACGATGGGGGGTTCCGGGTCGTCCACCGCCGGGCGAGGGAGAGGGAGAGGGAGAGGGAGAGGGAGAGGGGGGGAGGGGGGGAGGGGGAGGGGGAGGGGGAGGATTTCTTTGCGGAGGCGCTGAGGGGCGGGAGGCGCTGACGCTCTCGCGCCCGGGCAAGGTGTCGGATCGGCCCGTGCGTCCCAACCAGGGGGACGGGGGTTTGGGCTCGTCCGCGGGCGCTCGAACCAAAGCGTTAAGCCCTCACACAGCGGTGCACGAGAGGGGGTGGGACAGGCCAGCCGCCACGGTTAACCCCAACGGCCGTGACATAACGGATGTATGCCGGCTTTATGAGAAACCGAGGGGTTCCAGGTCGTCCACCATCGCCATCGGGGGTGCTGAGGCGGGATTAGCCACCGACCCGGGTAAACCCGAGAAGCCTCTCCATACTCGCAGCAGCAGCAGCAGCAGCAGCAGCAGCAGCAGCAGCCCCCGCACGGGTCGCGCCACACCAGCTTCCCCCCGTGGGGGGGCTGGGTGAGCGCGGCCGCTCTCGGAAGCTTGACGGTCGGATTCGGGTGCCCTTCCGACCCCGGAGACCGATTTAAACCAGGAAATGTTTGATTCACGGGAACGCCGGCTACGAGATGGGGAGCCCCCAACGGCGTGCGCCCCACCCCGCCTGCCACGTCCGTGCGATCGGACAAACTGAGCACGAATCAACACCGGCCTTCTGAGTCTCTCTCGGATAGGTTCGGGCGGGCTTCGACGTTCGTCGAAACCCCCCACCCTGGAGGCTGGCCCGCAAAGACGGGGAGGTACACACGCGCCCACAGTGGCCGTATCTAGCGCCGGACGGTGGCCTAACCCCTGGCGGGCCCGGTATGCCGTTCGATCGGACGGAGCACGGAGCACGAATCTCTCTCTCTCTCTCTCTCTCTCTCTCTCTCTCTCTCTCTCTCTCTCTCTCTCTCTCTCTCGTAGAGGGCCAAGCCCCACAACACCCAGGGGCTTCGCGAGGACTTGGCCCGTAAAGCTGACCGTCTTTCGGGTTCGTCCCACGGAGCTCTTGCGCTGCTGGAAGAACCGAGCCCCCCTCCACCGGGAAGGGACACTTGGCCGCCACGCCCACCATCTTTCGGGTTGTTTGCACGGGGTCCCCGCGGACCCCTGGAACCTCGCGCAGTTTTGGCTTTTCTTTTTTTGGGGGGGTTGGACTTCCAAGTCCATGAAAGTGCTTGGACCCCGACCAAAAACTCACGTCGCCACTGCTTCTCAGAATCCCGATGGCACCCCTCTGGATTTTCCACGCGCATCAGACCATCCAGACCGCGGTCGGATTTGAATCTGACCGAAAAACGGTGCACCTCGGGCGGATACGTGAGTAGGAACAAGACCCTGGACGAGCCACCTAGACGAATTTTATGGACGTGGTCTAGAAAATTTCGCCCTGTCACTGGGAGACCGTGAAAACTTGGGTGCCGAAAACAGCCGGCCGCTGGGAGACCGTAAAAACTTGAACGCCGAAAACAGCCGGCCGCTGGGAGACCGTAAAAACTTGGGCGCCGAACACACAGCCGGCCACTGGGAGACCATAAAAACTTGAACGCCGAAAACAGCCGGCCGCTGGGAGACCGTAAAAACTTGGGCGCCGAACACACAGCCGGCCGCTG